TTAACTAAATCCGGGACTTTTTCTCATGCGTAGCCGCTTTATCAAGAAAACTGCAAACAAGGCCTTTTCAGGCCATTTTTTTAAAATGGCGGAAAATGCTCACCAGATACGCGGTAGGAAACTTCAGATTCGGATTCAGCGACCCAAATAACATATAGTAAGCCAAAAAAAAATCGCTGTGTACCCAAAATTCCAGGTAGACTTACCAGGCGCCTGGACTACTATCTAGTCGAGGCGTTAGGTTTAGAAAGAGCATTTCTTGGTTGCGGTGTTTCGCAATTTCCAGTCCTTTTTTTCATAGAGGAAACTATTGGCTCAATTTCCTGGAATTTTTCAGCACTGTCAAGTCATAAAGAATATTTTGTAAAAGGTACAACAAATTACGTACATTTGCTTTAATGGACCACCAGACAAGGTACAAATTTAAGCACTCTGATACATGTTTTTTAACCAGAATTTCACGTAAAACACGATTCTTGCAAAGAAATCGCTGCGTACCCGAAAGTCCAGGTAGCCTCATTTTTAGCTACCAGGCGCCTGGACTATAGTGTTAGTGGTGAGTAAACTAGTCATGTCTACATTAGGTTTAGGTTTTTGAGAAAGAGCTTGCTGAATGTCCGAAATTGTATTTCACTGCCTCTTCTAATTCGTGCGTGTCCCATTCAGTGCAAGTCAAAATAAGCTGTAGTTCAAATCACTTGCAGTTAGTTCAAACTCGCAGTTACTTCATTCTTCGCGCACAAGAGGATATTTCCCTCTCTCTCTCTCTCCCCCCTCCCTCCCTCCCCTCTCTCCCTCTCCCTCCCCCTCTCTCCCTCCCCCTTCCCTTCTTTGTCTTATTCTTTTCCCTTTTCAACAGAATTTGGGATGAAAAATCTATTTCTTTGTTTCATCGAAAACCAATGTTCACAGTAAATTATATTGTTTCTTTTTTTTAGCGTGTATTGAAAAATTATAGAAAAAAAGAAGAAAAAAAATGAATATTATTACTTTTGATTAAAAACATTACGTTGGGGGGGGGATGCCCTTGAACGAAACGGACGATATGTAATCTCGAAAAATTTCCTTGGTTAGGGTAAAATGTGACAGGCAGTTTTTAAGCTGCGAAATAGAATGCTTGTTTTCCTAGTTTCATCATTGAGGTAAGATGCATGGAAAGTGCTACATAGCATAAGATATTTTGGAAAGTTTTATTTCTTGTTGGTTTCATTCCTAATTAGTGCGATAATAGAGCGCTGTCAATAATTAGCCGGCCGAGTGGAAGCCACAGACTATCTCTCTCTGCGGTGAGTTATGAATAATTTCTCATGGGTCGAAGACGTGTTGCGAGCCTCTTGGATAGAGTAGAGGACTAGAAAGACAAGGCATAGGGTATACGCACCTTTGCTCAAGCAAATACTATTCCCCTCCAAAACCGCAAAAATCACCTTAAAAAAGGCGCATAGGCAACCCTTCATCACTTGTGTTCGAATATGTCCTTTATCGCACATAAATCAAGGTGCCTTTGAGGAACTCTAATTTTTATGAGAGTCATGTGGATTTATCGAAACTTAGCTTACCATGAAGGACGCAAAGCGATCGCGAGAGTTTCAAGAAGCGTCTCCGCGATCGGAATTTCTCGTTTTTCATGAGCCATTAATTCATTATCAGAGTTTCCACAGAATTTAGAGAATGAAATTCCCTGACATTGCCCTGGTTTCCCTGACATTTCGGTGGAATTCCCTGACAATTGAAGATATGTGACGAATGGTTAAGAGGGCATAATTGAAAATACTTTTCCGGCAAAATGTGTTGTTCGAAACCTCAAAACCATTCTAGAAAGCAAATGAAGGTGATTTAACAAATTTTCCCTGACACTTTCCTCATTTTCCATGACATTTCCCGGTTTTCCCTGACTTTTTAAAATTCCCTGACATTTCCCGATTTCCAGTTTTCCCTGACTGTGGCAACTCTGCATTATTGATTCAATAATGATAAATTCGTATTAAACCAACACATATTAAATATACTCAATACAGACTTTAAAATTGAGAGTATGCTTACTTTTATACGTTCAGGGGCATCAATTAGGGATAATAAGGGGACATTATTGCATTATTCCTACCTTCCTCCGCATTTCAGAGGTGGCTTTATCACAAAATCATCAAAACTTGATCGATTGAAAGGGCTTTTTCGAGAGCTTGAAGTTTTTCCCAATCTCAGCATGTTCCAACTTCTCTCGGTGACTTTTGTCCCCTTTCCCTCCCCTCAAATGCCCCTTGCCTGAAATGAAGTCTCAGATTTCGTCGGAACCAAAAAGCATCGATAAATCGATCCCTCGCGAAAGAACTTAACTACATTTCAATTTTGCCCAACTTCTCCCCGCAAATTGAATTTTTATCAGGAAAATCCTGGGCACTTCTAATTGAAAATTTCACTAATTTTTCATTGATCTCACGCAAAAATCAGACGAATTTTGGACAAAAATCGCACGAGTATATTCTTGTAAAAAATCGAATTGTTTGAGTCAGTTTTGCAACGTTGGTATAAAGTTACGTCTTTCGGTTCGGGAAACGACGAAGAGAGCAAGAATGACGTAGCCACTAAATCAGTCTTCCCATGAGTCATCATTAGGCGAAGAGGATTGTTGCTGCTTTTAAGAATGTGTGGAATCTCCTAAAGTTATTTGGGGCCTCGCTCGAAGACGCCGCTTTGGAGTTTAGCAAAAATAATCCAAAATCCACGTTGATCGTATTTTTCGTTGGTTTTATCCGGCGCGGTGGCATGGACGAGAAATCAAGTATAGCAACTTGGGCGCGCATGAATGAGGGACTTTCTCGCGCATGCGCAGAGTAGTAGGATGACTGCGCGCCTGCCGCATACCGCATTCGTTCAACCTCCAAATCCATTGCGCAACGATTCACTTCTGATAAGCCGTGAAAGTTCCCCGGGGCCCAGGCAGGCGCCACGCCGCGCTGAGCCACGCGTCCACAAGCAGCGCGCCAAGCCAGCTTCACCGCGCCACTGTTTGCCACGATTTTCAACTTACCTGCTCTCCCGCATTTCTCAAGAGAATAGTAAGTGCAAAAACGTAGTTTTAAGAAAAATGGACCACGAGATAATCGTCTCAACCAGGGATCAAAATTAAACGTTTTCTCTCCGAAACCTTTCGTAGAAACGATTAAAACAACAGGAATATCGGAAATCCACCTTTGAGCGAGGTAAATGACGTCGCATTAGGAGGGCTTGGAGGACAAAGTGCTTAAGTGCAGTTTTTGAAAAAATTGAGATAATTATGATTTCAAGTAAAACTATAGTCTCATCAATGCATATCCTGTGAAAAATTCGCTCCCGAACTCCAATTTTTAAGCATCAAAAAGTCAGGTTGAACTTTCTTTCCGTCACAAGGAGCCATGTAATTTCGAAACTTCAAACACGTATCTCGAAATAGCAAAAACTGCACTTACGCGCCTTGTCCATCAAACCCTCTGATTATATTTTCTTGAGCTAACCATTGTCAATTGTAAACATTCATGTCGCGATAATAAGTTGATTTCCAGACCTCTCATCGTAGACTACGAGTGTCTGAGGAGGAAGCAAGTCGCGTGATGCCTTGATTTATACCTTGACTAGAAGCCTATCAACGAAACTTAGAAGTTGTTCGAGTGGTTGAGCAATGACAAATTTCACGAATTTTTTAACAGGAAGGGCCCAATCCCGTGGAAAGCACCAGTGCGCATGTTTTGGACACACTACAAACAAATTTTAAGGTTAGATTTAGAAAGGAAATGGCACCATTTTACTCAAGGCACCCATAAACATAGCTCTTACGCGGATTAATATGGACTTACTGATATTTTATTTGAAATCACGTCGATTTTTGCGCACATGCTGCGATTGTCCGGGTGACCCTGCGTCGCGCGATACTTGTGAAAGCGTGGCTCTACGCCGCACTCCGCCGCGCCAATGCGCTTCAGCGGCATTTTCAACTGGAACTGGACCCTCCACTTCGCTATTCTCTCTTTATAACGAGTTTTGACATCAGACATGAAAAATTTCACCAAATCTTTTTCTGTGAAATCTTAGGGTGATATCCCTCGCCGGAAGGAAACAAATTTATGATGCCCAACCGATGAGCCGCTGGAGCTCATTTATCGCATGTTGAGATGAAAGTTAAGTCTGATTTACGTCATTAATCATCACTCCAATGGTGCCCTCTGAATCTATATTTTAGCTATTCAGCGGTCGGAGCTACCTACTCAGAGATTGACTTTTGTCCCAGCATATACGACGAGCGAGCTTTGCGAGTAAATAGAGCCATAATTTAACCGCATTTCGCAATTAGGAACCATAATATCTCGCACAGTTTAGAAACGACGTAAATGCTGTCAGTACCCTATGAACATAAGTGTTTTTACGGATGAGCCAGAAATTATAGTTCCTAATTGCAAAATGCGGTCCAATTAGAGCATCACGAGATCTTTTCTAGTTTACAGCTCATGTAAAACACATTGCACTTATTAAAAAGTCCCCTTTTTTTACTCCTGAATAAAATACTAAGAAAATACCACTATCATTCTATCGGAAAAAAGCAAAGGAAACGTATTCAACGCACGGAGTCTGTTCCCGAAAAATTTCTTTTGAAAACCACAACTCAAGGTCGAAAGTAACTGAAATCATCGAATTCATCTTCGGATTCCCATAAATCCTTTAGAATCTCTTCTGTGATCAAAACACCCATCCACACAATTATAATTAACATATAATTATAACTATCACGCAATTTGTGTTCCCCCTCATTTGGACGAGTATGCAACACACATTTCTAGAGGTTGAAGTAGTGGTATCAGCAATCACGGCGTGGCGCATCGAATATTTGCCTTTCAAATGTCTGTAGGGCTGGGAAACTACATAAATCAAGTATGTAATTTATTTTAAATGAGGATGATCTCATTGCAATCAATTGTGCTCAACTAATAAAATAATTTCAGACGATTTAAAACATTGTTGTAGGAACTTACCCATTTTCCCCGGAACGACGTCGAACTGAGTGGGCGTGTCGTGGACAAATACGGGCCTCGTGCATAGTTCCTGAAGAAATAAATCGGAAACAACAATATTAAAGGTCAATATGAGAAATGGTGTTTTTATTACGTGCATGTATAAAAATTAAAAATACAAGAACACGTATTTACAAGATGATTACGGCATTGAAGAGCTCCGCTCATACTTATTTACTTTTATATTTTTAATTTTGGTTACCACAGCGAAATAAATCATCAGATCCAAACAAAATCAACATGACTACGATGAATGTTGCCTGACCTCCTTTTATATTTTTTTTAAATTTTAAGAAAAACTGAGCAAAATTTTGCCATGATATTTTTTAACTGCTCTCCTCATTTTCATGACAACATTCACAGAAAGTTCCGAGGCATTTTGTGTATCATTTCTAATAAAAACAAATAAAAAACAGACAAGAAATTAGGTAAAGGTGAAATGAAATTGGTTGATTCCAATTAAAGACGTCTCGATGATTCTTACATGGATTACATTTTGCAGTAAGGAACCACTATCTCTGACTCTTCCATAAAAGCTCATATCTGCACAGGAAAACCAATGTGATGCGTGTTGTATCTAAAATGGGCCAGAAATAATGGTTCCTAATTGCAAAATGTAGTCCTTATTGTTCGACATTTTTGTGAGAGATGCTTGAAATTCCACATAACATCGAAAAAAGTGATTTAGAATGAATTCGAAAAGTGAAACGATACCAGCAATATCGAAGATGAACACGTATATCGATTGTACAGCAACGGTTCTCGAAAGATGTCAACACTGTTTTTCCTTGCTTTAAACCCATTGAAAATATCGATTTTAGGTGATGGAGCTACTTCGCTCAGAATCGATTGTTTAACATACATTTAAATAAGGGAAAAACGGTGTTTTTAACTTTCAGGAATTGCCACTGCTCAATTGTTTAAGATTCACCATCGATTTATTTTATCAACATATCGTCAACTTCCGGACAAAACATCACAAGCGCCATGCAACGTTTAAAAATGTTCGCCGCCGTTTTATTTTCATACAGAGAAATTGTTGGTTGAGTCCGAAAATTTTACTGAATTTTCTTTAGGCTGCCGATAAAATCCAGTGAAATTTTCAAACAGATTCAACCAACGATTTCTCGGTAAAAAAATGAAATGGCGGCGGAAATTTTGAAACGTCGCACGGCGCTTGTGATACTTTGGCCGGAAGGTGACGATATATAATTTTGAATGGATCGACAACAGAGGGAAATAAATTACGAAACTGACGAATTGCAGAGGCGGAGGGATCGGTATATCTATGTTGATTTTACTTTATTGTCCGCGAAGATGTTTGCCTGCGTAGGTATTTCCTCAGAATCAGTCAAACTTATACGTAACATGTATATTTTGTGATGAGCACTGAGCTCGTAAGAATACTTTAATGTCGAAGCTCATGAGGAAAAGGAGATAAGGGGTTTTAACAACAACCGATTATCCAGCCTCAACCCCGAAGAACCTTTAACGATCAACGAATACGTTGACCTTTGTTGCTTTATTAGCCAACCGCTGTTATTTATTTTTATCTCGACTCCTTGATCACTGAGAGTGTATTTTTGGCCGACGAAAATGAACCAATGGCCGGCGGGTCAACGAATTGATACTGCAGGTGAGCTGCAAATATCGCGTGAAGAGGTACGTCAGATAATTTAGAAACTGATGTCTTAGTCTGCCGTACTAGGGAAGAACGCCGTATGAACATTCGAGAGTTGCCAAATTTCCCTCGATAAAACATGTATTTTTAATGAAATTCATGCATATTTTCCCCTAAAATGTTTAGTGATTTTACATTATATTGCGTACAAAATTGTCTGAAATTGTTGGAAAAAAATATTCACAATTTTCTCAGTAAATTCGGTTTTTATCGGGAGAAAACTCGGCAACGCCTGAAGGTTCATACGGCGTTTTTCCTTAGCACAACAGGAGTCTAGAAAAGTGTTTCACAAACATTTTCATCACTAGGCCTGCGTCACAAAAGCGTTTACAAGAGGGATGGGCGACCGCGGAATCCAAAATTTAGAGTTACGTCTTTAATAACGGCTTCTAATGACAGTTAGAGGGGTCTGCAGGCCGATTATTGAAACTGATAGACAAAGCTATAGACAAAGACGACAAAAGGGATTTGGAGGGATCCTATTGGTGGAAGCAGGTGGTGGCAATGAACAAAGGAGGTAGGTAATGGACTAACTAACGGCAACCCACCAAAGACCGGACAGTTAGTCCATCATTTTCTTCCTTAGTCTATAAAAACCAACCATGTCAACCAATAGGATCGCTCTATACTCCCTATGTCTTCTTTGTCTATCGCTTTGTCAATCAGTTTCATTAATCGGCCCGCTGGTTAAAAAATTTAGTATTGAAAAAATAAAAAAGCAGTTTTAAACATTGAGTTTCGCCGGGCATTAAAGTGATTTCTAATTTCTTTTGATTCTTAAGAGACAGCCCTGAGAGATGCTCGAGTATTTCAGTGGCGCGGCGTGAATGATCGGCTTTCGATAGTTCTCCATTTAAGGCTATTGTAAAGATTCGATTATTAAGGTGCTCGCTGCGAACACCCTATTCATCGATCTTTTTCCATAGGTTTAAATGGCAGATCAATCGATACGTCGCAAAGCACGCCACGCTAGGGTATATGGAATATAAGCGGGAAAACTGGTGAAAACGGGTCAGGATTCGCTGTGATTTTCGATTTTAGCACAGCTCGAGAACTTGGACGCTGGTCTTGGCCTTGCACTAATTACGAGACGAAACGTTTCCCGCAGCGGCATTCGAGCACGATCAGCGCGTGGGACCGTTACTCGACGCACCTGGAGTCCCGAAAACGTGTAATTGATTGATTAAATTCATATCAATCCCGTTGCAAACAGCTCTTCCTATGCTTCTTTCTCACCCGACCTCTCCGGTTTGAGTGGCGCTGCGTGCTTTGCGATAAATCGATTGATCTGCCATTTAAACCTATGGAAAAGGATCGATGAATAGGGTGCTCGCAACGAACTCCTCAATATCGATTCTTTATCGTAGCTTCAAATGGGGAAATATCGATGGTCCATCATTCACCTCTCACCACTGTCCAGTTTGGGTCTGAGACTCGTCGCACAAGAGTTGTTCGAGTTTTCCGGGGCAGAATTCAATACTACCTGAACTCATAGAATCAAAATCTGCCAAACGTCATTTCACGTTTTCTAATTTCTTCCTGTGTAAAATCTTATACAGGAAAACTAAGCAATTAGACGTTTTGAAACTTCCTGCAAACTTCCTTTGAACTTTTTTTTTCTTCTTTTTTTTAAGCGTGCAATTGATAATTAAGTAATGTTTGATGTATTTACGTTGATTTTAGTAAATGATGTAATATTCCTGATTTGGTGCGGTATTTTTGAGGGTTTTAATGCACCAACATGTTTTCAGAACAATCACTATACTCTGGTATCAGGATAATAATACATTATGAATATTTGCGGACCAAGACTGAGGTCTCTTGCCCGAGGGGCGGTCACATTTTATCTTTCGTTCATCATTTTTGAAAGTTAATAGGGAGTATTAGAATTACAAATTGGCTGTTCCAAGTTCTTAAAAATGTGATAAATTCGCTTTAGAATGCTCTAAAGTCGGTCTATATCAGGTGAGTTCTTATTGAAGGGTGGCAACAGGAGTTGAGCTTAGAGACTTTAACGATAGGTTAAGAAAGTAAACTATGAAGGTTTCATGAGTTCATTACCCACACTGCGAATGTTATTGTTCAAAAATATTTTCTTTGAAAACCAAGTAGTAATACTGAAAGCTGACTGGCGGGAACTGACCCCAGAGACTTAAACTATGGACTAAGAAAGTGAAACATGATGGGTATATCACCCATATTGCAAAACATGTTTTCCTTGAGCACCAAATAACATCATCCATACTAGCCTCGATATTGTTCACAAATAATTGGCTTGAACTGCTAAACGATCAAATCACAAAAAGTAAAATTATGCTATGAAAATCCAAATCGATGGTTATGGTAGAAAAAGATGTATCTAGATTCGAGACGTTTACTTATTTTATTCATTTGAAAGATTACTGATAAACATTTTTTATTCACTGGAAACAACACTAAGGCCATGGAGGCCATGCTTACGGGCTGTTTAGACGTATCGTCCGCGTTCCGAGCTCACAGGCAGGAAGTTCCGGATGTGGCACCCGGAGCTTTCCGCCTCTGAGCCCAGGACGGATGGTATGTCTTTTTTGTCAGTGTTGGAATTGGTAAACATTTTTCTTTATTAACAGTAATTCGTATGTTTGGGAAAATCTCAAACTATTCAGTTAATTTACTTTAAAAAAAAGAAAAAAAAAAAAAAGTAGCAAGACGACGTCAAGGATTCATAAGCGTCTCAATTGAGGTACCAACTTTTGGCTATAAACATCGAATTCTTCATAAGCGCTCAATCCACTGCAGCGCATATTTTACATAGGTCTTCCTCTGCAGCCTTGTCGAACAAAATGTCAGTTCCTATTAAAAATTGCGTGCAAAATGTATGGAATTTCTCGTTACCTTTGGTCGTTTCCATTGGAATGTGAAAGGTGGAGTTTGATGATAAAATACAGATGCTTGCGTGGCAGGGAAATCGGGGTCCTCCCACAGTTCTCCCTTTTTTAGACAGCATCTTTTCACTCGNGAGAAAATCTTTATTCTCCAAAAAAAATCAATCAGAACCATTCTGAAACTGAAGCAAGATACATCATGCCGAGAACACTTCATAAAAAATGAGATATTAACATTACCGGCCAAAATAATTATGAGTCACTTAAAATTACTGGCTAAAAGGCTGAAGGGAGATAAGGCAGAGACACATGGGTATGACACAAGATATCACCAATTTAGCAGTTTATCAAAGAAGGACACATACCTAACAAAGGCATGGAAATTCTTTGATAAATTGCCAAATATTATACAGGAAAGCATATATAGTCCAACATTCGATAAGCTGGCCACAAGGCATTTGATTGAAAAATGCCCGTACTCAATCAATGAATTTTTGAATGTCAATGAATGAATTTAAGACGATTTGTATGTAAATATGTTTATATCTATCAGTACCTTTATTTAGAAAATGACGTTTTTGTGAAGCCAAATGTGCAAAAAGCAAAAGAATAAATAAATAAAAAAAAAATAAAATAATAAAAATATTGTTCACAAATAATTGGCTTGAACTGCTAAACGATCAAATTACAAAAAGTAAAATTATGCTATGAAAATCCGAATCGATGGTTATGGTAGAAAAAGATGTATCTAGATTCGAGACGTTTACTTATTTTATTCATTTGAAAGATTACTGATAAACATTTTTTATTCACTGGAAACAACACTAAGGCCGTGGAGGCCAGCTTATAACGGGCTGTTTAGACGTATCGTCCGCGTTCCGAGCTCACAGGCAGGAAGTTCCGGATGTGGCACCCGGAACTTTCCGCCTCTGAGCCCAGGACGGATGGTATGTCGACGGTGAAACTACCAAACCACGTATCTCGTTTGCGGTGTTTAAAAATCTACGCTCACATTTTATTTTTTTGAAGGAGACCAAATCATCATCATTCCTTGAAATTTTCACAGAATTTTCTCCGCACGAAGAGGAAAAATCACGGAAATTTTCAAGACTGGACGTTAAGTAGTTTTTCATTTTAAAAATAAAGTATGACAGGAAGTCTGCGACGTCGCAAACCGAGATACGTGGTTTGGTAGTTTCACCGTCGATGTCTTTTTTGTCAGTGTTGGAATTGGTAAACATTTTTCTTTATTAACAGTAATTCGTATGTCTGGGAAAATCTCAAACTATTCAGTTAATTTACTTTAAAAAAAAAAGAAAAAAAAAAAGTAGCAAGACGACGTCAAGGATTCATAAGCGTCTCAATTGAGGTACCAACTTTTGACTATAAACATAGAATTCTTCATAAGCACTCAATCCACTGCAGCGCATATTTTACGTAGGTCTTCCTCTGCAGCCTTGTCGAACAAAATGTCAGTTCCTATTAAAAATTGCATGCAAAATGTGTGGAATTTCTCGTCACCTTTGGTCGTTTCCATTGGAATGTGAAAGGTGGAGTTTGATGATAAAATACAGATGCTTGCGTGGCAGGGAAATCGGGGTCCTCCCACAGTTCTCCCTTTTTTAGACAGCATCTTTTCACTCGCTCCAAATCTGTCATGCCTGAAATCGAACATATTACGGTTAGATGGCATCATTCACGTATTCACTGAATATATCGACGGTGAAACTACCAAACCACGTATCTCGTTTGCGGTGTTTAAAAATCTACGCTCACATTTTATTTTTTTGAAGTAGACCAAATAAATATCATTCCTTGAAATTTTCACGGAATTTTCTCCGCACAAAGAGAAAAAATCACAGAAATTTTCAAGACTGGATGTTAAGTAGTTTTTCATTTAAAAAATAAAGTATGACAGGAAGTCTGCGACGTCGCAAACCGAGATACGTGGTTTGGTAGTTTCACCGTCGATATGTTTACTGAATGAAGGAAAATTTCATAAAATTTGACAATATTCTCAGTCACGAGAATAAAGTCACAAATTGCACAAATCTCAAGTAGGGGCGTAACGCTACGGATTTTACGATAAAAGCATAGTACACTCTAGTAAATCCAACATTCGTTTGTTGATTAAGGAGTGTAAATCAATAAAATATGCGAAAATATACAAATTTGCTGAAAAAAAAAACGTGATTCGTGTTTGAATGTGCTATTTAAAATAAAAACAAAAAAGGCGAAATAATGTGAATAAAAAGTAGAAAATTAATTAAGTTTTCCGCATTTACTTCATCATAAGGGGAAATTCTCCGTTTCCCTTAGGATCAACAGAGTCGAGACGTAATCGGAGCTAGTTTTTTAATTTTTTCTCTCGAATCCGAGCGACACTTCTCCGGCATCATAAGGAGGAGCATTGCGAGTTTGCGCATAGCGCCATCGCGCCTTCAATTTTGCAGATGCAACTCGGACATTCATCATGTACGAATAGTTGTATCTCTGCGTCGTCATCAATGCGCCTCCTTTTACTTTGCTCCATTTCCATACCGTGTTTGTCCCCGTTTGTCTCATTTGCATGTTTAGCAGTGCTTCAAAGAGTGTATGAGCAACACAGCCATAATTAGGAGAGTCGTAATAATCGAGCCTCGTTTCTTAACTTTTCTCACGATACCTCATTGGCAGCATAAAAAGAAGCTGTGAAACATCACAAATTCACAGCTCGCGCCATCGCGCCTTCAATTTTGCAGATGCAACACAGACATCCATCAAGCACGAATAGTTTTATCTCTGGACCGCCTTTCCATTCTCTCTATTTCCAGTGTGTTAGTTTCGTTTGTCTCATTGATAATGTTGTTTCAAGGGCTACGTGAACAACACAGCCGAAAATAGGATAAGCTCTAATCGACTATCATTTTGAAAAGAAAATTAATGTTAGAGGTCTCTCAAGCGATCAAAGGGGCGCACGTCTATAATTGACTGTACTACCTCTTCTGAGAGAGTGACACATGGCGGATGAGGAAGAGGAGGGGGTTGATGAAGCGTCTCTATGTTACTTAAAAGGTGAACATTTCAAAGGAAAGAATTTTTTACCGCGGATCTTAGATATTTTGTGTATAGATATTTTGATACTTGACAAAAGTTCGAGAGCCAGTTAGATTTCCTCACGCTTATCCCTGACGCTCATCATCTCTTTTACGAAAACTATAATCGAGAAAAATTTTCAACGCCTCAAAGCTAATTTTACGACGGAGAGTGACCAATTTTTCGCGTAATAGCGGAATATGAAAGCGTACAAAGCGTACCTAATGGCGGAGGTTTGCCTTCTTTATTTAATCGAATGTCTGCTAGTAAGTGAAACAATTGTCATTCATCACAGCTTGATTAAACCAGTATGTCCCAATTTTTCACATCATCCTCTTCAAAATATTGAGCTACGGATACAAAAGCTGAATTCAGCAAATATAAAAAACCAAACAATTTTCTAGCATTTTTGCAGGCCAAGGCGTCCCTGGGGGCTTACATCCGGTAGATAGTTCCAGGACTTGCATCCACCACTATCATGCGTACGAGGACATTTCTTTACTCTTACTTTTTCTGCTCCCGTTCATTTATGAATTTTCCGCATTTTTTCTCGGTCATAATTTTTTCTCTCATCTTATTTTGCTACATGTGGCAGAGAAGCGCGTCTTCGATGCGTCAGGGGGGCGTATCTGCCAATGGCAGATTGGCCTTATGGCCAGTCCGACTCCGGGTTTGAGAACCGATGCCTTACACCGTCATGCTGAGGAAAAACCTCGTAGAAACCTTCAAACGTTGCCACATTTCCTTCGATAAAAACCGAATTAACACGGACAATTGTGAATATTTCTCCTCCAATTTTTCACACGATTTTTTTTTCGCAATTCAATCTAAAATATTTATAAATTACAGAGCAAAATCTGCATACATTCCTTCAAAAATAAATATCTTACAGGGGGAGATTTGGCAACGTCTGAAGGCTCAGAATGCGTTTTCCTTTAGCACGGCAGCTCCGTGGTGTAAGTGCCGTGCTCAGGAATCATTCAAATGTTGCCGAATTACCCCCGACAAAATATTTATTCTGGAAGAAAAATATGCAGATTTTCCTTTGAAACTTTCAGATATTTTATATTAAATTGGGAGCGAAACCGTGTGAAAAATTTCATGAAAAATATTCACAATATTCCCGGCAAATTTGCTTTTTACCAGAGGAAATGTGGCTACGTCTGGAGGTTCACACTGCGTTTTTCCTTCGTGCGGCGCGGCAGTGAGATTCCCTTGACTAATAAGCCCTGAGGCACGATACAAAGATGATCATAAAGTCCGATCAAAGGGCAAGTGAGACTTAAGCCGCTGTCTTCCAGGGTTATAAACGCCTGGAATTCTTCCCGAGAGAAATGACGGAATTAGAGAGAACTATCATCGCTTCATAGTAGGGGGACAGCGTGAGCTCTATTAGAGTTGAAGTTATGGAAAGCAATCCTGGGGGATCGTGGTGTCAGTTAAGAAGGGGCGGGGGGGCAAGGAACATTGACCTTGGCGCGACGCACGGATTTCTGAAGGCATGGACGAGTGACTCCAAGGTCGCGATCAGCTTTGAGGCGTTGGCGAGTGCGGGTGGCGGGGGCGAACGGTCCACTGATAGGAAACCATGCTAAGGAAAAACGCCGTATGAACATCCGAATGTTGCCACATTTACTCTCTGATAAAGGAAGTACTGAATATTTTTTATGGAATTTTTCAGGATTTTCCGATTTAATGGAGAATTTGCACGCAAATTTTTCATTGCTTCGTCTGAAAGTGCCTGAAGAGCTGATTTTGCAGTATTTTTCATAATTTTTTTTCTGCAATGGAAAATAGTATAAAAATAGGTTTAAAAGTGAGAAAATGCACCGCTTAATGACGTCATCTGGCGGCATTTCCCATTTAAACACATGCATTTTGTCGTATTTTCTCCAATAATCATTCGATTTATGAACCAAGGGTATCCTCGTATTCGGCTCACTTGGTGGCATCCACTTTGACACGGAATTCATCAAATTTCAGACACATGCAAATTCTCCATTACGAAAGAAATTCTCCGAAAAATTGGATGAAAAATAGGATAGGAGCGTAAACATTTCAAAAGAAGCTTGGCAACGTCTGAAGGCTCATACGGCGTTCTTCTTCAGGACGGCAGAATAGGAGGACATACTGGTGATCGACCGCTCTTTTTAATTCTGGTCAGGGGTCGCATCTCTGCAATTTTCAAAAATCATTTCTCTATGGACACTGCTATTGGCTTTTTGAATTAATTTCTCCAATTTGTGTCGAACTTCAAAGTTATGTTTCAGTTATAGTCGCGACTCGTACTGGTAGAGTATCAATACAGAGAGAGCATGGACACTGGGTTTCATGGAGACCCCTCGCGCCCTGGCAGGGGTGGCGAATTAGGATGGGGGTTAGGTACCCGTATCGTTGAGTTTTAACCAGAGACCCTCCACTAGTATCTCGGCAATGGTGGAAGCTTTTACTTTCGGGACTTCAAAGTTTAGCTGTTGACCTACCTTCTTGGATGATGGTCAACAACGAGTTGGCAGTTTCGTTGGGCTGACAAACCGTAGAGTACCTATATTAAGAGAGTATGGCCACTGGGCCCCATGGAGAGGCTTAGGACCCAAAAATGGCGGTGCTTTGTTTTGGTTTTTGTGGATGGGAGGGGGTCATTGCCAACTTTTGACGGTTACCACCAACCGTACTTGCTGCCAACCTCACTACATTCAAGATACTTTTTCTCAAAAATTGCACACGATTAGTCTTAAAAATATATAAAGAAGTAGCAAGAGTGCATTTGAGTAAATTTCTCGTTACGATAAGCAAAGAAAACTACATTTTGAGTCATTTTGCATTACATTAATTTATGGCGTCCGCCATTTTTGGGTCCTAAGGGCTCCATTCAGCCTAAGATGGCTGAGCCAATCAGAGGTGGTAACGCCAGTGGCCATACTCTCTCAATATAGGTACTCTAACAAACCGAAGTTTGGGAAATTTATTCGGCTCGAGACGTCGCCCGAAGCTCATCATCCACCAAGTAGGTAGGTCAACAGCCGGAAAAATAGTGATGGCTGTTGCTCCCTTACATTGTTTTCAAGGCAGTGTTGAATCCCCGAGAGTAAAAGCTTTCACCCGTTGCCAAGAGGCGCGTGGAGGGTCTCTTGTCTCTGTTTAACGCGGTTTTTTCCTGAACACAGGTTATGATCAAATTGATCAGCCAAGGTGACGNAGTATGGCCACTGGGCCCCATGGAGAGGCTTAGGACCCAAAAATGGCGGTGCTTTGTTTTGGTTTTTGTGGATGGGAGGGGGTCATTGCCAACTTTTGACGGTTACCACCAACCGTACTTGCTGCCAACCTCACTACATTCAAGATACTTTTTCTCAAAAATTGCGCACGATTAGTCTTAAAAATATGTAAAGAAGTAGCAAGAGTGCATTTGAGTAAATTTCTCGTTACGATAAGCAAAGAAAACTACATTTTGAGTCATTTTGCATTACATTAATTTATGGCGTCCGCCATTTTTGGGTCCTAAGGGCTCCATTCAGCCTAAGATGGCTGAGCCAATCAGAGGTGGTAACGCCAGTGGCCATACTCTCTCAATATAGGTACTCTAACAAACCGAAGTTTGGGAAATTTATTCGGCTCGAGACGTCACCCGAAGCTCATCATCCACCAAGTAGGTAGGTCAACAGCCGAAAAAATAGTGATGACTGTTGCTCCCTTACACTGTTTTCAAGGCAGTGTTGAATCCCCAAGAGTAAAAGCTTTCACCTGTCGCCAAGAGGCGCGTGGAGGGTCTCTTGTCTCTGTTTAACGCGGTTTTTTCCTGAACACAGGTTATGATCAAATCGATCAGCCAAGGGGACGTCAGGTTTCCGCATCACGCAGACTCTTACTACACTCTCAAACTCATAGTGTAGCCATGATTCATCGTTTCCCGGACGAAGAAACGTAACTCCATCCCAAGGTTTACTAATTGATTCAAACAATCAGTTTTTTAACACCAGAATCTACCTAGAGTACCTGTATAGGGAGAGTAGCGACAGATCTGAAACTCCGAAAGTCCATCAGGCCTTCACCGATGCCTCCGCGAATAAAGTTAGGGCCCAAAAGGGCAGCCAACCTATGAATTTCGAATGTCCAGAGCGATTTACAAATACAATTGTTACGAACCGTCGTTTAGAAAGCATGTATTTAGTTTACTTTTTGCATAAATTTACTTATTTTTGCGAAAGAACGCTCATTCATGTACATTCTTAGCCATCTTGGTTAGAATTCAAATCTGTAGGCTGGCAGTGAAATTTTGTGTGTTAGAAGTTGCTCAGAAGGGTGGCTGCACTTTTGGGCCCTAAGCCCTCCATGAACCGATCTGTCGCTACTCTCCCTATACAGGTACTCTAAATCTACCTGTGAAATTGTTGTCCAAAATTTGTCTAAATTTTGCAGGTAAATACGCAAGATTCCAATTGATAAAAATGCAGCATGCAATGAGAAATTTGGCAACATTGAATTGTAGTTAAACGTTCTTCCACCAGGGGAACGACGAATTGGATTACATTTTGCAATAAGGAACACAGATGGGGCCATGCCACCGATGTGCCCCTCCTACATTCACCACTGCAGCGGTGCCTTAACGTCAATTAACAGGATAAATTCAGCAAAAATATGAAACTATTTCTAGCTAATTTTAGGAACAACATATGTTCCATTAGTTTCCTTATGCATATTGGAGCTCTCATTAATAGGCAAGGAACAATTGTTAAATGTAGTCCCTAGCCCATTTCTAATTTTTTCAATTCGGAGGACCGTTTGCAGTCCCGTAAGCAGTCTTGTATAAATACGCACTAAAACTCAATGCAATCGAGTTATTATTTTGACCTGAAACTTACGCTAATCGGAATAAGTAGAATGAGAAAAAATTACGGTCCAGCTTACCTCAAGAAATGTAGATTCTCTTACGATTGAATTCCTCAAATTGGGACTCTAATAATGATACCCATTAAAACTTTCACATCTATATTTTTTTCTTATAGTACTGAATTCTTTTAATTAAAGGACAACGATCGCCATTCGCAAAATAGCGATGAAGCAAAACACTGAAATGAACACATTAAGACACGGTCACTCAATATCCCAGCGAGGCGTAGGCGTTGAGTCCTTGAGGTATGAGTTGATCTAGCCGCAGATCATTTCACATCGCAGCTTCCCCTCAGCTCCCGCAATCGAATCTGAAACAAGAAAAAGGAGGAAATATTAGATTCAGCTCCAGAAATAATGCGCCAATGTCGTTTTACATCATGAGTCCATATTAGATGGTGGTAAGTCCAGCGGGAACAGGAATTGAGCCCGGAGACTTTAACGATGGACTAAGAAAGTAAACCACGTAGGTTTGATCACTTACAGGGAACATCCCTAAATTAGATAACGCCTTTTTTCAGCATTTCTGCAGCCCCCTTGACCTAACTGAAACTTATATAGTAGGAAATGAATAACTTAGGTTGTTCTTTGATTTAATTGAGTGTTCGCACCTAACTGGATTTCTCAGTTTGGGAAATGCACATATCGCAAAAAAAAGCTATTTCTTTCAGGATTCAACAATAGCATGAACCTGCACCTCGTAACTTGCATACTGTAATTTTTTTTTTTTTGGAAACCATTTGAATCCCTTTATCAATGGTTATGTCTCCCTGTAGACCCTCAACTCGCCCTCCTGATTTTGCTCCCCGAAACCCACTGTGTGTTCATGCGCCGTTACTGTGATAGGGGTATCCTCAAAATGCGCGGTAGTACAAACGTTGAGTTGGATTTTTAGGGGCCATTTGGATTCGAATTCATTTAAGTTTCATTTCACGAGTAAGGATTCAATTTAGGGGGAAGGGGGGGGTTCGGGAGCATAGATCTGTCGAAGGAAATTTGGCAACGTCTGACGGCTCATACGGCATTTTTCCTCAGCATAGCCGCATAACCTGTTCTCTCTTTGCACGGTCGTATTGACCGACAATACACAGTCATAATTTTTCTGGNGGGGGGGGGGGGGATGGTGACGCCTTCCCGTCCCCCTTCCTACGCTCATGCTGATTACGATGCAAATTGTGAAGCGTAATATCTGGGGAGCATTTCCCGCAAACGGAACTGGATATTGGATGATAATTAGAAGGGAGACCCGAGGCGTCGAGTCCGGGCGGGCGATCCGAGGCGGACTCGATCGGCGGGATGTTTGAGGAGTTTTAATCCCTCGGATTCTCGGCTCTAACAACCGGGCAAGAGCCGTCCATCACATCGATTCACCCATCCGTCCGTCTGTCCAGCATCCAACGTCCAGCGTCCACCAATCCGGTGCCCTACTTTCCCTTCCGTTCGGATCCTATGACCGTGTGCAGTTAATATTCAAGGTCACGGCCCGCGGCCCGCTCGGCGCGGCGTTCGAGTGTGCTTGAAAATTAATTACGGCCTCGCTTCAACGGCTCCTGTTCACAGCTCACTGGATTCACTTGCACCCGAGCCCGCTCTCCCGAAGGAACTCGACGGATCTCGCTCTTGCAGCCTCTAAGAATCAATAGGACGTATTTCTGTCAAACGGAACTATGTGCACTGAGGCATGAGCCCTGAGACCCATTTAAATATATGCATAACTGGACTCACGCCATAATGCACATAGTTTGACAGAGTTACGTCCAATAGACAGCGTCCAGCAACTCAGCCATTCTTACCACAGACAATACACTGAAACAAAAACTCCGGCCGTGGAACCCGTACTTACGGGCTATATAGACATACCATCCGCGTTCTGGGCTCAGAGATCGAAAGCTCTGGGCGCAGCACCCGGAGCAGCCGGGATTACGGCTCCAGCACCCGGAACTTTCGGCCTCTGAGCCCGGAATGGACGGTGTGTCTTTAGAGCCCGTAACTTTTTCTTCAGTGTAGCCCCTTCCAGACTTTCAAACTGGAGTGACAGTCTGTAGGAGTATCGATGCGGGTGTTGAATGTTGAAAATAAAATAAAAATTTAGGAAAACTTTGCTCAAGCGAATTTTTGCGGGTGGATTTGGTTGACTTTTTCGACCAACTCCTAAAGAAAAACGGTTTTTTTCGACCCCCATCACTAGTCTGTTGAGCTCATCTGCGACCAGTGTCCGAACAAAATTCAAAATTTCTCGACCCGCCTTCGAAGGTAGGCAGAAAAGTAGATGGGAATAACGGTTTCACCAGGGACCTCGAGTAGCAACCAGTTTTTCCAAAATATCGGTGTTCTTTGCGGAGAAAACAATAACTGAGCGACAACAACCGCGGTGAGGAGATAATGATGAAGTGAAGTGTAAAAAGTGCACATACTTTTGTATATTTGCATGATAATTTATATCGGCTATTTTACAATCGGACTTTTTTTATTAGCTCGTCTCCTTCAGGATTTGGTTGATTATAAGATACTTTATATAATAAATATATACCAGTGACTCAGCTATCTGGTAATAGCCTGTGACGCTGAATGTCTTAAAATATATTAACTAACCAACTAACTAAAATAGTGCATCATCGCACCAAGCCACAGAAATATGCCCAGAGTCTCGACAACTTCCTGAACCAACTTGTATGGTGGGAGAGAGCGAATGGTGTGAGACGCACTGGGATAATACGATTTGTTCCCGGTGCTGAATCCCTCTTCCTCCCGTGTTATTCCGTCTCTCCTCCAATGTAAGGGCGCAACTCAATTTCCATATGAGTTGTCGAGCGCACTGAGTTGTATGGACAATGGGGCTCATACTAAATTCAAGTCACGCCTTTGCATCGTCGTCAGATAAACGACGATTCGACCGTCGCGACCCGGTTGTCGGACGCGAAGCGCCAAGTGCAGCCATAGCATTAGCATTCAACACCCAACAGCGTTGCATTGACGTTGTCTAACGTTCCCGTTGTCGTCTCCCGTCATCACTGATTCCTCCCCTCCAGTCCAGCGGAGAGGCGTCAATGATCGATTATCGATAATTCCTCATTTGAAGCTGTGGTAAAGAATCGATTATTAAGATATTCGTCGCGAACACCCTGTTGTATCTATCTTTTCCCAAAGGAGGGCTCATATGGCGTTTTTCCTTAGCACGGCTGGATTGTGAAATATTCATTTGAAACATTTAGGACATATTTTTTGACAACTTAAATGTTAAATCGGGAATCCATTTATTTCCGTGAACATGAATCGTTTGAGTCGATTTTGCAACCAATGAGGCTACGTTCCTTCGTCCGAGAAACGACGAACAGTGCGAACAAAAACGTTTCGCAGGCGACGACGCGACGTGCGGAGGCGCCTGACCCAACGCGGTGCGAATGACGATAAGTCTCGACTATTGCAGTGTAGTAGCGCATGACAAATGAACCATGTTTATTTTCACGCGGTCTTACGCAGGGGACTACGAATGCATGGCAAATTTGCGACTCGCCATCCCGGTGAAAACCACTCATTGCCACAGTGAATCCCTCGTGCAGTTACGCGTTTTTCGCTCAACTCGGATGTTGCATCGCACGGATAACCACCTTATCAACACGCGTCGAGCCGGGAAGAGGGGCCAGTGGGGGCGAGGGTGGGGGGGGGGGCACCGTGGCTAACCCATTAAATTCGAAAGTTGTCAGTGTGGAGGTGTGGAGTCACGCGACGGTACGCCGGTGAACATCAGCGTTGTGCACTTGATTCACTTCGATGTTCTTCAACGGCACTGCTACGTGCTTTGCGGTATATCGATTGATCTGCCGTTTAAACCTATGGAAAAGGATCGATGAGTAGGGTGTTCGCAATGAACTCCTTAGTAATCGATTCTTTACCATAGCTTCAAATGTGAAATATCGATAATCGATCATTCACGCCTCGCCACTGAATGCTTTTCTTCCGACGACGCGACGGTAGAGTGAGACAACACTAATGGAGAGAGTACGAACAACTGGACTACATTTTGCAATAAGGAACTGCTATATTCGGCTCATTTTAGGAGCAACATATCGACGGCGTAAGTCCACAATCACATATCTCGTTTGCCGGTGTCTGAATCTCCGCCTCTATGTTATTTTCGTAAAGGAGAACAAATTGACATCGTTTCTTGANGGTTTGCGACGTCGCAGACTTCCTGTCATACTTTATTTTTTAAATGAAAAACTACTTAACGTCCAGTCTTGAAAATTTCTGTGATTTTTCCTCTTCGTGCGGAGAAAATTCTGTGAAAATTTCAAGGAATGATATTGATTTGGTCTACTTCAAAAAAATGAAATGCGAGCGTAGATTTTTAAACACCGCAAACGAGATACGTGGTTTGGTAGCTTCACCGTCGATATCTCGTTTGCGGTGTCTGAATCTCCGCCTCTATGTTATTTTCGTAAAAGAGAACAGATTGACATCGTTTCTTGAAGTTTATGCAGAATTTTTTTCGCACAGAGAAGAAAAATTACGGCAGTTCTAAAGAATTGCTGTTGAGTAGTTTTCCGTTTATTTTGTCTTCTTTCTAATTTTAAAAATTGAAAAAAAATAAGTAAACAAAAAGCTGGGAAATTTCCGCATTTCTTCGATCCCAAGATTGCAGGCTCGCGGTGTGAACACCAAAAAGCAACGAGGATATATCCTAACCCTACATTAACGCCTATCCGTGGTAATAGCGTCTTTTATGAATAAATTCAACCTTTGCTCATGGAAGAAAGAATAATTTACTAGGGTTAAATTGCACGCCAAACGTCACTATGACAGACTCAGTAATATGAAAATATATGGCAACATCAATCTTGACGCTGAGCTCAAGCTGTACACACTCTGAATTCAGTTCCCGCAACCAATGGACAAACGCTAGTAACTTAGCTAGAAGTTGATTTCAGTAGTTTTCGTTGCTCGAGTCGTGTTCTGCATGAAACTATGTTGAAGAATCATGTATGAGAGTGCTTAAATTAACCTAAAAAAAGCGAACATAAAAAACTTTTCTGACTTTCTGAGAAAAAATGTTTTACCGGAAGAAACGAGGCAAAATTGCTCATACGGCGTCGAAACACTGCATGGGCCTTTTAAGTCCCATTTTTCGATGCCGCGATTATCCTGACGCGAGTTCGAATAATCGCGCCGAACACGGTGCGGTCGGTGTCAAACTCATATCAGCGCCTGCGAGACTGTAGGAATACTTCACGCATTGCGCCAAACAGTGCAGTCGGAGTCGAACGCATATTAGCGCCTACAAGACTGCACGGATACTTCTCGCATTGCAGCA